TTCCCTTTCCAAATAAAGCGATTATCTCAGCACAAATCTCCTATGTCGCAGTTACTTAAAATCAAGCAGACTGTTGCTGAATTTTTTTGCATCAGCACTAAGATTTTATTTTGTGTGCATCCTGGCAGTAGTAAACTGAGACAACTGTAGCCATTTCTGTGTTGCCCTTATCTCTGGCAGCATTTAAAATGTATTTATGCACCCTTGACTTTAAGCAAATATTCTGTTGTTCTTTGGCTTCTTTTTTCCTGTAAATTTCATCTTGACAGTTTTACATCATCAGTGGCATACCAACAAGGAATTTGTCCAGTGACATCTGTGCAGTCTGTGGGCAGAAAATTCTTGTGGGTATAAATGAAGAAGGGATTATTGAAAATACCTACCAGCTGTCCTGTAATCATGTGTATCTTTTCCATGTAATTATGGAACACTTGTTTTCTCCTCTTTTATACTGCATTAAAAAAATAGTAACAGCAGCAATAAATACTAAGAAAAAAAAAAGGAACCAAAACCACATTCAGAAACAACGTAGCAGAAAAATAAAAATAGGAGCATGAAATATATTTCAGTTCTGTGACACAAGTTGAGTCCATGCAGCTTTTTGACAGATGAACTGATGCAAAAGTGTCTGTAAGACCAAAGTTTGTATCCTACGTCTGCCTTTCAGGTACTTTGTGTGCAGCCGGTGTGGGTGTGCTTGGCAGTATGTTAGATTAGGCATGCTGACCCAGTGGTCAGGTCTGCTAACCCAGACTCCCCCATACAGCAGAGGATTCCCCCCAGCTGCACCTGGGGCTGTGTTTGCTGGGTAAATTTTAAGGCAGATGTGGAACCTTTCTCAAACATGGCATGTACATACCCTACGGGTGGACAGAAGATGCAGTGTCTCATACCTGGGGATACCAAACAGCTCCTCACTTTGCATTCCAGAAATTAAAGTGAAAGGTATCACATATATGTTGGAACAATATTACTAATAACCCCCTTTTGCAGTTCATAAAAGTATCCTGGCTTCTTGCAAGCTGGAAAATATGAATACCAGTCTAGATGTTCAGGACATTGGATTTAACTTCAAAATAATTCCACATGTTTTAAGTAAGTTGAAATTGCTCGGTTATAAAATAAAGCAGTATCCATAATCAGGCATTAAAATAGTCTGTTGATGGTTTGACTAGGTTTGCAGATGTAAGCACTGGACCTTCTTTATATTTGAAAGAACTTTTAACTATACACCTGATCTCAGGTTTCATGAATCCTACATCCATGGCTGGTGCCTTGTTGGCAAGGACCAGGCTTGCCCATACTGCCTTAAGAAAGTTAATTCAAAGAGAATGTTAAGTAACCCATACGCTCTCCCTAGCAAGTGTTTTTGATTTTGATTTTCTAAACTGTAGCCTGATTATTTACTAATTCTTGTTTTGATCTGCAGTGAAAGGATGAGATGGTCACATTAAATAGGTCAAAACCCAATTATTATTAAGGAACAATTACATTTAGGGAAGATGATAGTTATGTTTGGCTTTCTGTTATCTAAGACCCCAAGCAAGCTAGGAAAAGTCCATATATTTCTTCCTTCTTGCTTTTAAGACATCCGGAAATCATTTTTATAATGAGAGGAACATTTTAAAGAATGTAAATCACAATTCTAGAAAGACCATGCAGTGGATTTTGCTCTTTAATGAAATAACAAAATTGATATAATCCCCTTTCAGAACAAGTGCTGGTTTCCCTGTCTTCTCTTAGTAGTTAGCAAACAACATTTTTTTCTTTAGTAAATGAAATCATAGTTGAAGATCTGCTGCTGCCGCTGAAGATACCTGCTCAAGTAGAAGCAAAGTTTGGCTTGCTTTTTTGAAGCTTATTTTAACCATTTATAGGGAGGATATTTAATTCCAACCTGACCCCTAGTAAAAAAAAAAAAAAAAAGTAAATTAGAAATGTTGAAGGCATTTCAAAATTTTAATCCTTTTTCTTTGATTCTGGCTAAGAAAAAGACTAAGATTTACCTATTGCTGCATTTTTTCTGCAGACTGCTTAACAAAAGAGTAGGTGGGAACACATATATATTGTATAGACAACTTTTGGACTGGCTCTGCTACCTGGTGGCTTGGCAACCAGATGTTATAAGCCTCATCCAAGACATTAGTTACTCGTTGGGTCTAGAATAGGACTCAGATTATTAATCAGAATGCAAAGTGTTGGATATTTACTGGTCTATAATGATATGTATATTCTGTACGTAATTTTAAAAGACTAGAAAAAATAGCAGTTGGTTGAACTCTAGTGTGCTATACACCCTTTTGCAAGACAGTGCCTCTTTTTGTATTACAGCAAGACTGTTCAGCATGCTACTAAAGCATTTCTTTAATTTACTCAAAATAAGAATTAAAAGAAATTTCTGCCAAAAGGCCCAACTCTTAATAAACAGCTTCTCAAACACAAACAAAAAGAACAACCAGATCAAAATGGACGCGTACGTCTTGCCGCTTAGCAGCTGAATGATTGACATCTATACTACTCTGGGCACACTGTGGGGAACTGAAATGCATGATGCTTATCCAAGAATGGTGAGTTCTTCTTAGGAAGTAGAGAAGCTGGTCTTAAAAGTTAATTAGCGTAGCTGAAGTAGCTTTGGAACTCAAATGAAATATGGTCAATATACCAACAATCTTTACATTGTTATTAGAAATAAGAGATAAAGATTTAATTTACACTTCAATATACAGATGAGAATAAAGCAGAGACCACACAAAGCCATCTACTGATGAAGGTAAGTTTTGGATACTAGAAGTAGAAAACGCTGCAACTAAAAATGTTAATTAAATGAAATAAAGAGCAGAACTAAAGTATATCGAAAGCAGATGGCTTTGTTTATTCAGATGAAGTAGCAAACTTAATAATTCTTACAATGTGTCATGCTTGTATTCATATATGCAAAAATTCACATAAATAAATCATTTGTGTTACACAGACAGAGTTGCCCAGCTGTGGGTGTAATGGAAGAATATTTGTCCTCAGCTTTCTCAATGGCGAGCAAGGACAGGGGGACTTCAGCTCTCACTGACATGATGGCTCTGAGGAGAATTTCCAAAAAGCATTAATACAATAGGTAATTAGCTGTGAGATGAGACTTTCAATGCACTGATTCAACTACAAGTATTGAGGTGTTTAAACAGAGATTTTATATGCATTAGATGCCCAAGACCAAACACAACAATAAAACACTAACTTCGATGCTATCTTATCATGGATATAACCAAACGCTGTAGGCAATTGCATGTGAAGGGTTTTAAGGTCTGCTTCTCTATATGCCTGGAAATTCCCTACACTTTGTGTAAGCGCTGTACTGATCTGGAAGTTAGTTGTCCCTCTGGCCTACTAGACTCAAGATGTTAGGATTCTTCTGAAATTTCCTCTGGCTGCAAGGCAGCATCACCTAAGATACTCCTTTCTTTCTAAATCACCTCTGAAGGAAGAGCTTAATGCCAGTGTTTCCCATTTGTTCCACTTTTCCAGCAGTTAGAGGCCTTGTCCCAGTAATCTAGAGAAAACATGGGTCCACCAGACAGCAAACATGATATCTGCTCTTTAACTTCCTCACTATGTCCTCTCTTCATTTATAGAGACAAGAGGTAGGAAACACCATATTCGTGCCTGTGCTAAGGCTGCTGATCAGAGAAAGGAATAACGGTGTTAAATTGAAAGACTACATACATATTAGTGTTTCCCATATTCTAGATGAGAATAGCTTAAACTCCATTCGAAAAAGTCAAAAGAGTATTTGGACAATACTCTGAAACACCTATTACCACATATGGCACAGTGGAACTAGAGAGAAATCATCCTCCGTAGGCATCTTTCATCAAGAAAGTCGTCTGCCATGGAACATATATGCTACAACAGCCAAACCCACAGTGTGAAAGTGTGTTTTTACAATAAGACTTGCAGACGTGATGCTCTGGAGATCTGGACATTTAACTCACGGCGATTGTGAAATGCTTCTGAGAATCAGTCCTTAGATCCACAAACTGGTATAGCTAGGACAAAAACCTGTGCTGCATAAACTGACATTTATTGCATTTGATTATAAGTGGTTTGCACAAAGAATGCAGAAAACCCCTTGGTTAGGCAGGCTCTCTTCAAAAGCTTTTACAAAGATAGAGATATATAAACTACATAGCTGGATACATAAACGACTTTTCATCATTAAATATTTAAATGAAACAGCTTTTGCTAACACTGTTGATTAACATGTGTAAACAACTGTCATGCTTTAACCCCAGACAGTATCTGAGCACTACACAACTGCTTCCTCACTTACCCCACAGTGGAATGGGGCAGAGAAATAAGTAGGGTAAAAGTGAGAAAATTCATAGGTTGAGATAAAGACCGTTCAATTGGTAAGATAAAAGCTGCATGCATGAAAAGCAAACCAAGGAATTTGTTCACCAGTTCCTGTTAGCAGGTAGACGTTTAGCCATTTCCAAGAAAGCAGGGCTCCATCAAACTTAACAGTTACTTGGGAAGACAAACACCTTAACTCCAAATGTCCTCCCTTCCTCCTTTTTTCTCACAACTTTTACTGGCAAGCACGACATTATATGGGATCAGACATCCTTTTGGTTGCCTGGGATCTGAGGTCCCACCTGTGTCCCCTCCCAGCATCTTGCACTCCCAGCATCTTGCACTCCCAGCCAACTCACTAGCAGGACAGAGTGAGAAACAGAAAAGGCCTTGATGCCGTGCAACATCTCTTCAGCAATAACTAAAACATCCCTGCATAATCATCACTGATTTTGTCACAAATCCAAACCACAGCAACAAAAGAGAAACTACGATGAATATTAACTCTATTCCAGACTGGATCAGCAAAACAATCCATGACCACAGCTATAATAAAAAAGTAATGTACATGGATACAAAAAGAAAGTAATAGAATTTATAGTATTATATATTATATATATTATATATATTAGAAGCTCAGCCTTCTAATCTCAACATACAGATAGGTGATAAGATGAAACAGGAAACAAATCCAAAGTATACTTGGTATCTAAGTATTCCTTAATGTCCCTCTCTAGGATTTTAGAGCTATTTTCAAATTAAACCAAAACATCGCCTGTTGCTCTTCTTCAAGAGGCCACTCCAGGTAGGTCTTGGTGTTCATGATCTTCCGCAGCTTGCAGAACCTCTTGGGAATCGCTTGACTCTGGATGGGCTCCAGAAGGATGAGAATCGCTGCGTCGTTGTTCTCATCAAAGAGGCGGAAGTGCGAGAAGTCCAGCTCATATTTGCACCACTCGCTCTGCACAAAGTGCTCGGACAGCACAAAGAGCGTTTTGTGGCTCTTCTCGATGGAGTCAATGATGTTGTCCACAATCCACTTCCCGGGCACAAAGTCCCGCTTGTGAAGGCAGAGCCGAAAGGGGGGACAGGCCTGCTCCAGCTCCCGCACCATGATGTTTTCCACCCAGTCCGAGTCATTCTCGCTGTAGGAGACAAAAGCATCATAGCAGAGGTCCTCTGGGGGAGCTCGCCTGGGCTTCCGCTTGGCTCGCAGCCATGCCCAGGTCATTCTCAGGTACCAGACCGCGTGGTACTTGTAGCCGACAGCCACGAGGGAGAGGATGGCCAGGAACACCAGGGTGCAGATCAACGACACCATGAGGGACTGGTGGCACTCCATCAGCGAGAGGTGCACGGCTCCAACCTGAGCCCCTCTCACTGCCAGGGGAGAGTCACACACGTAGCTCTCCGGCCACCCCACCAGCACTTGCGCTAGTCCTGCCTGGTGGTGGATGAAGGAGAGGAACTCACAGGAGCAGATGAAGTTGTTGTCGCCGGCGTCCAGCAGCTCCATGTGCTCGAAGGACTCGAGCTCCGCCTTGGAGAAACTGTTGAGCTTGTTTCCTCTGACCGACATGGCCACTAAGTTAGGGACGGGTGCTGCATCAGGCAAGGTCTTCAGCTGGTTTCTGGTGAGGTACAGCTCTTTCAGAAATGGCAGTCTCAGCCCAAACTCCTTCAGGTTGTTCACGCTAACATCCAATACTTCCAGCGTTGGGGGAATGCAAGTCGTTACCTTAGGAATTTGAGTTCGGGAGAGGTTTAAATATTTCAGGGTCTTTGGCCATTCACACACATCTGGAATATCACCAAAATTATTTTGGCTAATGTCTAAGAGAATTAGGTGTCTCAGATGAGACAAACTTTTACCCGTCATCCCTAAGTCACTCAGTGAGTTCTGACTTAAATTTAGAATTTGCAGTGAGGGCCAACCACCCCGACACGCTGAGTGCTCCAAACTCTGGTCTCCAAGCAAATTCGAACTAAGGTCAAGATACTCTAATGATCTAAGGTGCTGTGAAACCCTGCATGGTACCAAAAAGACCTTGGTGTTTTCAACTGTGACTTTGGTAAGAAGACTTAGTAGACCTTCCACATCCTGAAGGTCTGTAAACAAATAGAATTGCTCTATAGACAATTTATCTATTGTTATAATTTTAATAGTCTGTGACTGATTTACATGAATTTGCATTTTCCATCGTCCGGTTCCCATGAGTCTACAGTCTATAAACTCAACCTCCTCTAACTTTGGCATGTCTGCTATAATGCTGACAGACTCAGGAACAGTGGCATCTGTTATTAAGGTCTCTTTGAAAGAAATTTTGCTTGCAAAGGAGTTAGACATGACTCTCAATAGTTGTGTTTCAGCAGGTTCATTGAGGTCAATTTCTCTCACTTCTAACCAAGTGACAGAGTGCAGAAGGTCCCTGACAATTGCTGAGACTATGCTAATGTTTCTTACGTTTATGATCATGTGATTTATCTTCCTAATCAGCTCCAAACTTCCTGGCTCGTAATGACTGAGGTTGCCCCCGTCAATCCACAGCTTGTCAAGAAGCACAACGCCCTCAAAGTTCCCTTGCCTTATTGTGGAGAACCATGGGTTGCCCAGGTGGAGAGAGCTCAGGTTCCTCAGCTTAGAAAACAGGGAGCTTTGCCCCAGGTCTCTGTAGGAGCTGCCTTGCAGGTGGAGGTGCTGGAGTGAAAAGAGGCGCTCAAACCACGCAGGGGACAAGTGAGCCAAGCTGTTATTTGACAAGTCCAAGAGCTCCAGTTTCCCAAGGGAGCGGAACGAATCCTCATCTATTGAGCTGATTTTGTTGGCCTGCAGCAGCAGGGCTCTCAGGTTCACAGCCTGCCGCAGGTCCTGGGAGTGGATGTGCTTTATCCTGTTGTGGGCCAGGTTTAACACTGTGGTTTTGGCTGTGAGCCCAGGTGGAATGAATTCCAAGCCCATGGAAGAGCAGTTGCAAATCTCAGTAGTATCACAGGAAGGACAAGTCTGCTTCATCTCTTGCTCTCTGGAGAGATTTACAGCTAAGACCATGTACATGGCCCACACTTGCCAGGTGTGTGTATTCATTATTTTGCCTTAAAATATAAAATACAGTCAGAGCAAATATAAGATGAATAGTTAGTTTTGGAGAATGTATGTTTTGGATTTATCTAATCCATAGCCTTTACTGTTCTCTCCAGTTGATTCTACTATAAATATATTTAACACTGTTCAGAGATTAAAGAGATTAGTCGAAACCAGGCATACTATACACAAATATTCCAGAATTATTTATCAAAAGCTACACTCCTTGGATTTACTTTTTTTCCCCTGCGATTTCTAATTCCATGAGAACTACCAAATAAATTAACAGCTGCACAAATCTTTACCTGATTCACCTCAACATCTGAATAATCACAACATTACTACTAACCTGATCCTTTGCCTGTTTAGGGTATGGTCCTCATACATCCCTCTTCAGCCCTGTCTTAGTCATTTTTCTTCTGAATTTGCGAGTATTATTTTGTGCATATAATTTTTTACTAATTCTAATCCTGGATATGTTAAGAAGAGTCAGCATCTTGCAAGAGACGGTGACATTCGCATTTAATATTCATATCAGGTAAATGTCTAATCTCTATTCTGACAATAAGGAGAAGAATATGCTTCAGTCCCCTTCCTCATTTTATCTGCCTTAGGCTATTCTGTTTGTAAATGTGCTAGGAGCAGGGAGAGAAATATTTGCCTGGATGTCTGTGTGGGCCATTATTATCATGTTGACAACAGTGCAATACTTGCTAATGAAACATAAGCTGGGAAAGCTGACCATTGTAGCTTACTGACTCTTAGCTCTTCCTTTTTACTGACAGACTTCTCTGCCAGTGGCTTTTTCTGCTTTGGGTATCTGTGGCAGGGAGGAAGTCAGGCCAAGTCATGAGAAAGAGCCAGGGGCTTTTGGAGCCTCCTGCAGATCAGATCGGCTGGACTAGATCAGCTTTTTCCAGGCCCCCAGCCTGTTCCTCGTCTGGACTGAAATTATTCAAGAGAAGCTGCACAGCTGCGGATCCTGTGTCACTTCTCTTACCCCTCAGAGCCAGGCCTTTCATAGTACTGATTTGCCATGGCATTTTGTGTTACAGAGCTTGCTGCATATCCAGTCTGTCCTTACTCCTGGCGAGGTGACTTTAGTTCTTCTGTCTCTCTGAGGAGTTGGAAAAACAATTCTTGAAGCCTGAATCCCCTTCAAAACCCTTATTACATATTGAATTATAACCCTTTTTTGTTTATGCTTTCCTGACATGGATCAAGGAGCACTTTTGAAACTTTACTTTTTCCAGCATGTCACAAATCCCTCTATTTCTGTAGGTATCTTACTTAAGAAGGTGAAGAGTGAGCTGACCGCAAAGAGGACAATGAACAGGTTCCCAAAGATCACAGTGGGCTCTGTATAATCAGGTTAGATTGATTGAGAAGTACTTTCTCTCTCAGTCGCCACACTAACACTCTGTGCAAAGACCTACTGTCCTTTGAATTCATGCTCTAATTTGCTGTACAATAGCTGACCCATGCAGACAAGTTCATGCAGACAAGTTCTTCTAGTTACATTATTTTTAGCCAGAGTTGCTTAAAATCATTCAGGAGGGGCAGAATTAGCTGAGATTGTTCAGGCATATGGGAGAGGAGGAAAACTTGTGGATAATTTTTCCAATCATTCCATATCTTCTCACCTGCAGGACTATAAACATTTTGACCTCTTGTGTTATTTTCCTTTAATCTCTGTCTCTCCCTGATGTAGAGCTTTGTGTCTTGAAGGACACAATCCTGTCATCCATCTTTAGATGCCCACAGCTGAGCTAGTCAACCACCGTGTCCTCCAACTTTTAGGGGCAATTCACATCATGTCTCTTGGACACCCACACTAAGATGGGATGACCCCAAGAGAAATTACTCTAATAACTTAAAATGGAGCACCAAAGTTTAGATACATAGATATTTGTCGATGTGAATCCCACCAAAACAAACTGTGGTCTGTATTTACACTCACCTCTTGTACGGCTGAGACTTTTCTATGGGGCTTTTCTGGTCTTGCAGGTCTGGCTGGTTAATACAGTGCTGTAGGCCATAGGAACAAAGCTGTGAGTAAGATGAGTTTCAAACGCGACAAATTTAAGTGGCATTTTTGAAGTTGCCATCTAAAAGATTACTGTTTGGAAAAGAAACAACCAGGCAACGTGGTCAATCAAAATCTATCTATAGGCAGGTTATTTACAGATGGAAAATTAGCAGCACAGAAGGAAACTGGGCAGGTACCGAGGGGGAAGTATTCTCTTTCCCTTCTCATTAATGTCTAATAGTTCATCTTAAGACCCTGATTTAGAGAGTTTTTCAGGCTTCTCTGCACCCACTCAGAAATATAGTCCCAATCCACAATATCATTGCCCTACCAAGAAATCATTTTTCCCTGTTGCACTGGGAGGAAAAAAAGCCACATAGGAGCTGAAATGCAGCTAAAAATATGGAAACTTGCATAGATGCCTTTATGCCATAAGGCACTGTGATGAACTACACATTCAAATTGTGTCTGGATTATGGACAAATCGTCTGAGCCACCAGATTATCTTCCCTGGCCCAGGCAAGTAGAAGTATTTGAGGAAATATGCACATATACTTAAACAGAACCATGAGTGCCAACAAAATGAGGTTGTATAAATGCTAACAAATGCTAAAAGCTAGTGTAACTGCTAAAATTAAGCATGCCAACAGTGTGCAAATTGATTCTAGCTTGGCAAACGCTAGCAAGCTAAATGAGAGGTGATAAATTTGAGCAATGCTATGGATTCTGCAGTGTCAGTAGTTGGTGAAGGGATTGATTCGCAGGCAGACTTGGGAAAGATGCTGCTTTCCACTTGACTGTGTGTGGATTTCACATATCCTAGCTATCACCCACAGCATTGCCTTAATCATGTGTCTGTGTATACACACACACACATATATATAAGCATGCCTCTTCTTGTTTCTGATATAGAGGGTATGCAACAGGGCAGTTAGGTGGGGAGACAGTTGATTCCACTGTCCTGAAGCCATTGCTCAATGAGCCCTTTTCTGGTTGAATTCCTAAAACAAACACAGCCCATCTTCACACCCAGCCTTCCCAGGGCAGCCGGTATCGACACACAAGTGGGACAGCACCCTAAGCACATACAAGGCACCCTCCCACAAGGAAACTGAGCAAGAAAGGGGAGCTATCTCTCCCCTTTCCCAAAGAACATTGCTCCCATTAGCATGTCTCAGCTCTCCTGGCTCTCCTTCCTTTTGCTACCTGCCTGCCACGCAGCCATGCCAGCTGCCTGCAATTGCATGTGCCAGCTCCACTTCTGCTGGCAGCCAGAAATCCCTCCCTCCCCTGCACTCCTGCAGGTGCTGGCCCCTGCCTGGCAGCCCCAGATACCCTGAATCTCCCATGTAGAAGAAGATGACTCAGGGGCAGAGATTATATAGCCTCTTCCCAGTGCTCCCTCCTTGTTTCTGCTCTAGCTCCACTCTCTTTCTGTGCGTCTCCAGCTTCCACCCACCTGCAAACTCACCTCTGTGCAGAAAAGATTCCCAAAGATGCCAGATCCAGCTCCAGTGCCTGCATGCTGGTGAACCTATGTCACATTTCATCTCTCTCTTGCTCTTCACCCAGCTTCCTCCCACGCTGGTGTTTCCTTCCCACTTCACTGATCAGCCTTGGCAATGCAAGCAAGGGAATTCCCACATGGGGGCTCTGATTGACAGAAGAACAGTAACACTATCAGTCCTTTTAAATGTGCCAACTCATAACAATGAACTTATAGTAAGGGCATACTGTGTGAAAGCCAAGGCTTCTCTTACCTCTCTCTCTGACCCTCTCTTTGAAACGACTAGCAAGTCGTGTTTTCCTCCTTACCTCTAGGCACTCAGACTCCTAATCTGTTTTATCACTGCTCAGTGTTTGCTGTTATACCATTTGATCATCACTTACCTGAAGTTCAGCCTGGATTAGCCCATGAGCTATTCTTCTCCAAGAGAGTGTACAGATCAATTCTTTTGTACCAGACTTTGGACTAACCCTACAAATATCATTATAACAGGAAAGCAGAACTGAAAGTGGTGCTTGGAGCCTACACCCAGACAAACCACCGTCTCATGTGTGTATTTGCGTATAACATACACAGAGAAGTGGGAATATATACATATGCATTAGCACATACACAGATACACATATATATGAGCATGTACAACTTTTAGACATGTGTGTATAAGCAAATTTCCCCATTTTTCCAAATACTCATCCTATACAGCAATGGTTTAGTATTTCAGTACAAAATAATTGTGTGTATAAAGTTTAATCAAGACTCATTTAGGCTCTCCTGCACTTAAACTCTAGCAACACAAGCAAAGGGGAGCATGGAAGAGCCAAGTTAAAGAAACCCACACCTAACTTTATCCCCTGAGAGACAAGTTTCCACAAAAACCTCTAAAACGCAAGAAACGCACAACTGTGACTCATGGCACACAGGGTGACATCAGCTATCTTAATATAAACATCTGTATCTACCTGCTTGTAATTGGTGAAGAGCAATACAGTAGTTCCAGGACATACCTCATACTGAAGTAGAAAGATAAACTATCTCTTATCAGTGTGATTTTCTTTCCTGGTTATAAAGAAAGCTAAGTAGAGCTGTAAGGGGTGCTTGGCCCAATGATTACTCAAATGTGCTGTGCAAAGTAGAAGAGCAGAAAGAAGAAGTGAGACAGTCTGCAACGCCATCTAGCCCACCCATTTAAGCACAGCCTTGAGGCCCACAGATAGAGGGCTTCAGCTATTTCTGTGGGTAGGTAGAAGGGAACAACCTGGTCACCGTGAAAGGAGAAACAAGCATTCACAGGGAGAAAGAACCCTATGGAAAAACAAAACAACAGAAAAAAAACCCCACCAACAAACCCCAGTGATTTTATGCCTATGGATTTCATCAGTCATGCAAGGTGCCAGGATGGTTCCTTCCCTCGTACTGAGCAAACCCCAACCTGGGCATGGCGGTACAGATGCTGGTGTAACTAGCCAGAATAACAGACGTGTGAATGGAATTACATAATCAAAACTGTCTTTTATAGTGTTGCACAGCAATGGTAGTGCTTGAGAGAGCTTATTTTGATGTAAGTCCTCAGGGTTTTTTCAGAATTTAATTTTAATTGCTGTGCTATGCATGATGACACTGAAAATAAACCAGAGGAGAAGAACAGACATGGAGAGTATTGAAACACTTGGCTTTTATTTTAATTTGTAAATTACAATAGTATTGTTAGGAACTAGTCAGGAATGCGGTAACAGGAGGAAAAAGTACAGAAATACCCTATATTCATCTAAATGTATTTGTATACATTTAAGTATATGAAGTCCAACAGGGCTTCCAAATATCATAGTCATTGGCAGGGATTTTGACAGATCAGAGTACTAAATCACTGTAAAGCCGAAATAGGGTCTTTCTCATTTAGAAAGATGATAATTATTTCTATATCCAACAAAGCAAGTTCTCCATAGGCAGGAAACAGGAAGGAAAAATTTCTTACCAGGAAGAAACCCTGACATATACATTATGTGAAATATGCCGAAATAGGGGCTCTTCACTTGTCCTACATCTTCAAGGCTCTTTTCAAATTTTCCCAAAACATCTCCTGCTGCTCCTCACCAGAAGGCCACTCCAGGTAGGTCTTGGTGTTCATGATCTTCCGCAGCTTGCAGAACCTCTTGGGAATCGCTTGACTCTGGATGGGCTCCAGAAGGATGAGAATCGCTGCGTCGTTGTTCTCATCAAAGAGGCGGAAGTGCGAGAAGTCCAGCTCATATTTGCACCACTCGCTCTGCACAAAGTGCTCGGACAGCACAAAGAGTGTTTTGTGGCTCTTCTCGATGGAGTCAATGATGTTGTCCACAATCCACTTCCCGGGCACAAAGTCCCGCTTGTGAAGGCAGAGCCGAAAGGGGGGACAGGCCTGCTCCAGCTCCCGCACCATGATGTTTTCCACCCAGTCCGAGTCATTCTCGCTGTAGGAGACAAAAGCATCATAGCAGAGGTCCTTTGGGGGAGCTCGCCTGGGCTTCCGCTTGGCTCGCAGCCATGCCCAGGTCATTCTCAGGTACCAGACCGCGTGGTACTTGTAGCCGACAGCCACGAGGGAGAGGATGGCCAGGAACACCAGGGTGCAGATCAACGACACCATGAGGGACTGGTGGCACTCCATCAGCGAGAGGTGCACGGCTCCAACCTGAGCCCCTCTCACTGCCAGGGGAGAGTCACACACGTAGCTCTCCGGCCACCCCACCAGCACTTGCGCTAGTCCTGCCTGGTGGTGGATGAAGGAGAGGAACTCACAGGAGCAGATGAAGTTGTTGTCGCCGGCGTCCAGCAGCTCCATGTGCTCGAAGGACTCGAGCTCCGCCTTGGAGAAACTGTTGAGCTTGTTTCCTCTGACTGACATGGCCACTAAGTTAGGGACGGGTGCTGCATCAGGCAAGGTCTTCAGCTGGTTTCTGGTGAGGTACAGCTCTTTCAGAAATGGCAGTCTCAGCCCAAACTCCTTCAGGTTGTTCACGCTAACATCCAATACTTCCAGCGTTGGGGGAATGCAAGTCGTTACCTTAGGAATTTGAGTTCGGGAGAGGTTTAAATATTTCAGGGTCTTTGGCCATTCACACACATCTGGAATATCACCAAAATTATTTTGGCTAATGTCTAAGAGAATTAGGTGTCTCAGATGAGACAAACTTTTACCCGTCATCCCTAAGTCACTCAGTGAGTTCTGACTTAAATTTAGAATTTGCAGTGAGGGCCAACCACCCCGACACGCTGAGTGCTCCAAACTCTGGTCTCCAAGCAAATTCGAACTAAGGTCAAGATACTCTAATGATCTAAGGTGCTGTGAAACCCTGCATGGTACCAAAAAGACCTTGGTGTTTTCAACTGTGACTTTGGTAAGAAGACTTAGTAGACCTTCCACATCCTGAAGGTCTGTAAACAAATAGAATTGCTCTATAGACAATTTATCTATTGTTATAATTTTAATAGTCTGTGACTGATTTACATGAATTTGCATTTTCCATCGTCCGGTTCCCATGAGTCTACAGTCTATAAACTCAACCTCCTCTAACTTTGGCATGTCTGCTATAATGCTGACAGACTCAGGAACAGTGGCATCTGTTATTAAGGTCTCTTTGAAAGAAATTTTGCTTGCAAAGGAGTTAGACATGACTCTCAATAGTTGTGTTTCAGCAGGTTCATTGAGGTCAATTTCTCTCACTTCTAACCAAGTGACAGAGTGCAGAAGGTCCCTGACAATTGCTGAGACTATGCTAATGTTTCTTACGTTTATGATCATGTGATTTATCTTCCTAATCAGCTCCAAACTTCCTGGCTCGTAATGACTGAGGTTGCCCCCGTCAATCCACAGCTTGTCAAGAAGCACAACGCCCTCAAAGTTCCCTTGCCTTATTGTGGAGAACCATGGGTTGCCCAGGTGGAGAGAGCTCAGGTTCCTCAGCTTAGAAAACAGGGAGCTTTGCCCCAGGTCTCTGTAGGAGCTGCCTTGCAGGTGGAGGTGCTGGAGTGAAAAGAGGCGCTCAAACCACGCAGGGGACAAGTGAGCCAAGCTGTTATTTGACAAGTCCAAGAGCTCCAGTTTCCCAAGGGAGCGGAACGAATCCTCATCTATTGAGCTGATTTTGTTGGCCTGCAGCAGCAGGGCTCTCAGGTTCACAGCCTGCCGCAGGTCCTGGGAGTGGATGTGCTTTATCCTGTTGTGGGCCAGGTTTAACACTGTGGTTTTGGCTGTGAGCCCAGGTGGAATGAATTCCAAGCCCATGGAAGAGCAGTTGCAAATCTCAGTAGTATCACAGGAAGGACAAGTCTGCTTCATCTCTTGCTCTCTGGAGAGATTTACAGCTAAGACCATGTACATGGCCCACACTTGCCAGGTGTGTATAGTTCTTGATTTGTGTTTTGTTTGTCTGAACATTTCGCTGTAGGAAACACAAAGGAGACAAGGTAGTGTCAGGTTTTATTTTTGAACAGGAACTGAAACAATTGAAAACTTGACATCTGTCTGACTCTCCTGCTTCAGCCATTCAGCTCTGCAGACATGGTGTGCTACTCGTCTTTGGACTCCAGGCATATCATGTCTCAGCAATCATCAAGGACCATTATTAATGTTCTGCCTTTTCATATGTGCATTGGCTATGGCTCTCACCTCTTACATCTCTTGCATTGTGCTTCCCCTCAAGAATGAAGCTATGGCTGTATCTTTCAACTCTAACAGGAGTTTAAATGTCCCCTAGTCCAGATCTGGGCTAGGGAATCATGTGCACCTTCAGTAAGCTTGCAGAAGACACTAAGTTGGACAGGAGTGTTGATCTGCGAGAGTGTAGGAAAGCTCTGCAGAGGGATCTGGACAGGCTGGATCGATGAGCTATGGCAAACTGCATATGGGTTGACAAGGCTCAGTGTCAGGTCGTGTACCTGGGTCACAACAACCCGTGCAACGCTATAGGCTTGGGGAAGATTGGCTAGAAATCTGCCTGGTGGAAAAGGACAGGGCAGTATAGTTCAACGGCTGGCTGAACATGAGCCAGCAGTGTGCCCAGGTGGCCAAGAAGGCCAACAGCATCCTGGCCTGTATGAGAAATAGAGTGGCCAGCCTGTATTTGGCATTTGTGAAGACCCTTGCTACAAGAGAGATGTTGAGGTGCTGGAGTGGGTCCAGAGAAGGGCAATGAAGCTGGTGAAGCATCTGGGGCAGAAGACCTGTGAGGAGCGGCTGAAGGAAATGGGGTTCTTTAGTCTGGAGAAAAGGAGGCTCAGGGGAGACTTTACTGCTCTCTATAACTACCTGAAAGGAGGTTGTAGTGAGGTGGGTGTTGGTCTTGGTCTCATCTCCCAAGCAGCAAGTGATGGGATGAGAGGAAATGACCTCAAATTGCACCAGGGGAGGTTTAGACTGGGTATTAAGAAAAAACTGTATTCACCGAAAGAGTGGTCAGGCATTGGAACAGGCTGCCCAGGGAGGTGGTGGAATCGCTGTCCCTGGAGGTATTTAAAAGACATGTAGACATGGCATTTAGGGACATGCTCTAGCAGCGGACTTGGCAGTGTTAGCTTAATGGTGGGACTTGATAATCTTAAGGATCTTTTTCAGCCTAAATGATTCTGTGACTATGATTCTAAATGCTCATAGCTTTTGTAGCATCAGCCTGCCTGTATAGTATGGCTACCTGCTAGGGAGAAGCTCAGACAGGAGCATGTTCTTCCTTCTTGCCCCAAGTGTGCTGTGGCTTCCAACACTGCAGACTTCCCCAGAAGAGATTTTGAGGTCTTCTGCATAAAGTCTCACCAGCCTCAGGGTTTTCAAAAAGCAAAGTTGCGTTTGCTCCTGGCACACCCTTTTAGACACTGTGTAAGCAATTTACATTCTTTACTGGAAAGGCAGAACATGCTGATACGCAACCAAACAAGTCTATCACCCTTTTCTGAATACCAACGCTGGTAATAGATGGGAATTGGATGTTGCTGTCAACATATAAACAGTGAATGTAATTAGAAAAATACTGATTTTGATTTACAGAAGGGCTGTGTTTCCTGCCATGGGTGCCAAAGTTCATTTTTGCATTGGCTACACCAGAAAGTAAGTCACTTATTAAAGTTCA